TTCTGACCCATATCGGCTTGGTCCGAGGTCCTTTGACTGATTTCGGGGGTCGCAGAGAAACGCCTATAACTCATAAGCGGAACAGTTTAGAGAGCTGGGTCTTGCGCAGATCGAAAGAGAACAATTTTCTCTATCCAGCGGCTATATTGCAAGTCAAAATCAAAATAGAAATCACTTTGGAATATCGTTCACAAAAGTTTCACCTACAACTTACCTGATTGGCTAATAGCTGACCAATCAAATTTCGAATATGTTTCGATGTCCCTCGGTGTCCTCTCTCGAACGGAGAAAACCGCAGGTCTCTACAGTGTTTCTATGAAAAGCTATTCAAAAAACAGTGGAGCACATTATATTTTGAAACGGATAATACATATGGTAATAAAAATAAAATTATACAATGAAAAACGAAAATTCAATTTTTGTCTACTATTTAACTTGTTTTTGTTTTGTATTATGTCAACAAAAACTATAAGAGCATTTTTGTTGAAACAAGTTTAATAATTCTTTGTTACTAAATTGTTTTATAACGGTTATAAGAAAGTGATTGTATCATGAAATCCATTTTCCAGTATCTCTAGAGAAGAAAAAGACAATATGTTTGTTATTCCACGTGTACAAGCATTCGTTCTCTTTCGAAAACAATTTTCTTGATTCAACATTATCATTATTTATTCATCGAGGGTATGCAACAACTAAAACGGCAAGAAAACAACATAGTTCAATATTCGAATAGTAATAAAAAACGAAAATTACAAAATAAAGGTACTATTTCAGATTTATATTTAATAAATCTAACTATCTTTGTTTTTTAAGTAACAACAATTGATCGAAACAAGTGAAAATATTTGATATTATCTAAAATTTTTTATCATTCTATTTTATTTAGATTTCTTCTTGAAGATTTCGCTAATGAAATTTTTTATGAAATATTTGAATATCTTGATATGTATGATATATATAAAGGATTTTTCAATCTTAATAAACGATTTGAAAATTTAATTATTAATTCAAATTTTTTACATAAAATAAATATTTCAAAAATATCAAAAAATGATTTCAAAAATTTTTATATCAATATTCTTATACCAAATAGATATCGAATTAATTTACTTCGTTTATCAAATCCATTTGTTGTCGAGATTATTTTCTCACCACCACGTATGGTTTTACAATTTATTCATCTTGAAAAATTAGTTCTTGATAATATACAAATGAAATATTTACGTAAAATTTTTGATTATTTAATGTATTTACCAAAGTTTCATTCATTAACTATTTCAATCGGTGATTATATTGAATCAATAAATTGTCTTTTTTCTGATTTATTCAATTTATTGACATTAAAATATTGTAAAATTGAATATGAAACGAAAAATTATGAACATTCATTATCTCTTTATTTTCCTAAATATGATTCTAGTTCAATTCAATATTTGATAATAAATGGTCGTTTTTCATGCAAATCATTAAATAATTTATTATGTTCTCTTCCTAAACTTCATCATTTATCGATTAAATCTCTTGTTCATTCTCGAGGTTATTTAGCAATAGAAGATTTATCTCCTATTCAATTAAAATATTTAAAATATGTTTCACTTAAATTTGATTGCATTTATTTTGATAACATTGAAAAAATTTTTAAAGGATTTTTTCATTATGTTCAAATTTTACGTCTTACAATAAAATATGATGAAGCATATTTAGATGCTCAACGATGGGAAAAATTAATTATATCTTATTTACCATATTTACGTATTTTTGATATAAATCATCAAAATTCTATGATAAATAATAATTTAACATATCATGATACAATAAATCAATTTAATTTGTCGTTTTGGACTAAAAAAAAGTGGTTTTTTACACATCAACATAATTGGACAAAACGTTTAAATACTGGAGTTTTTTATTCAACAAATCCATATAGGTAAAAAGAAAAAAGAAATTATGGAGAATACCATAATAAATGATTGTTTTTTTTTTATGTTCAGTCTTTCAAACACTTAATAATAGTTTCAAAATGTCAATTTAACTTCATTTGATTCTCTACAAAACTGTTCTCGTGATTTTTCAAGGGAATATTTTGAGTATGCATAAAGTTCAGATCTACTCAATTGTACAAGTGCGATAGTTAAAAAAAACGAGAAAATGATTGGAATTTTTGAAAAACGGATTTACTGAAAATTTCAAATATATTGAATGATTCTGCATCTTTTAATGAACTTCGAAAAGTTCTAGGACAAGTATTTGATAGAAAATATAAAAACAACAAAAAATTACTTTTTCAGTTCGTTCAAGCTGTTTCTTTTGAAAGAGTCAGAATAATCAAAAAATTGTCTACTAATCAATTTAATGCTTAGACCATTTTTATTAAGAATTAAATTACGCGTCTTACCATATGAGAACCTATGTCAAATGATAATTGCTGAGACGAGCGTAGGTTAAAAAATCTTCATTTGTCATAAGATACATCCAAGTATTAAAATGAAGGTTTTTCTCTTGAATAAAAGTGTGATAGATATTGAAAAAATGATTGCCATATAAAACAAAAATTTCTCTACATTCGAACAAATATGAATGTAGACAGACAAATAAAAACAATATGATTGATTCAACTAAGATCTTTTTTTATGAATGAGCGATTATCAAGTTACGTTTGATCGGTAGTTTTGCATTAGAAATCGAAAACGAACCGAACTGAACTCAAACCAGTGAAACTCGGCTCGATTTGGCTTCTCTTTCATAACTATACGCTCACGAAATCAGCAAATTTCACATCGACCATTGAGTAAATGTTAACCTTTTTGATATTTATACCCATGAGAAATACTTTCTAGAAAGATGCAGCCAACAGTTTTGTAGAGAATTTCATTTTCTATTGAATGAGGTTAAAATGATATTTTAAAAATCCTTGTTAAATATTTGAAAGACTCAAAATAAAATGCGAACATTTATTATCGGACATACGTTAGTTTTTCTTTTGCTTCTCTTTCAGACGAAAAGATTATGAATTTCATTGGAAAATAGATGAACAAAATTGTTCAAATTTTCAAGAAGTCAATCTAAATTCAGTTCAACATCTTTCGATTTATAGTAAACAAATAACAAACATTTATCTAAATTATTTTCCAAATGTTACTCATTTAACTATAAAACATTATTTTCAAACATCAGATGATTCGATTATAACAACTCTTAAATCTATAATTCCTTTAGTACAACTTACAAAATTAACTATTGAATCTGATGATTTTTCACTTGAAGAAATTATTGAATTATTACGTTTTATACCGAATTTATATGCATTAAGATTGAATTTTTTATCTAACAAGGAAACAAATGCAAAGTTAATCAAACAAAATGAAAAATTTCAATATGTATCAAAAACAAATAAAATAAAAAATTTAGATCTTTGTCAATGTTGTTCATTGAATCAAATTCAATTGATTGTTAATTTATTTCCACAATTAGAATATCTTAAAACTTGTATGAATCGAAAAGAAATTGGACAAATAATAAAATATTTATTATCAAAAACTAATAATAAAACACAACATTTATTCTTTTTATGTATTTCACAAATACCAAAAATATGTTTAAAGGAATTAAATGTTTTAATTAAATTAGAAAACTTACTTAATGATTATTCTATTAAGTTTATTAATAGTGATTTATATTTATGGTGGTAGAATTTTAGTTGTTTAGAACATGTTGTATTTTTGTATATAATTAGCAATTACTTTTAAATAAACAAGACATACAACTTTTGATATATATATTTTTTTTTTATTTAACAAATAATTAAGTTGAAAAAATATAGATAAACGAACTATATTAAAAAAAAACCTATTAACAGAAGATTTGGCTATAACATAAAACATATATGGAAAGTAAAGACCCGGGATCTTCTATTCTGTCTTACCGTTCACAAGTTAAAAGGGGGGGTCTTCTATTATGTCCCTAAAAAAGGTCATATTTTTTGGCAGCTTTGCCAAAAAATCTTACTTTCATTTGATTTTTGTCCCTGATATCGTTAACAAATGAGTTTTTTTTACTTGTTTCANGAGTTATGAAATGTGAAATTTAGGTATAAAAATGAATCAGGGAAGGTTTTCTCCACTATTGTAAGGACAAAACATAGTGTTATTCGGGCCGATTATGGGGTTTGTAGGGATTCTCTTTCATATGGCTCGAACAACACCATGTTTTGTCCTTATAATAGTAGAGTGACTTTTTTCTGTAGCTCATAGAAAACGGCGTTTTCTATCAACCAGCAAAAAAATTCGCTCTACTATTATAAGGACAAAACATGGTGTTGTTCGGGCCATATGAAGGAGGATCCCTACAAACTCCATAATCGGCCCGAATAACACTATGTTTTGTCCTTACAATAGTGGAGAAAACCTTCCCTGATTCATTTTTATACCTAAATTTCACATTTTATAACTCCTGCTAGAAGCAACTTGGGTCCGAACTAACTTAGGGTATATCACTTCTAGCTATGCCCTATCTAACCATCATATCCCTGACTGAAAAGCTTTTTGACACCTCGGATGGTTCCCTCGTCAGAGCATAAAAATTTCATGCAAGAACAATTTTCTTTATACCATTCGATGTGCCACGCACTGTTTTACAAAAAGGTATCAATAGCTTTTCAAATGAAGGATATTCGACAGGATCCTTTTTTCTTTCCCTAAAAAGTAGGTTTTGTTTTTCTAAATATGTACAATATTGTTTTCTAGATTGTTGATCAAACTGATCGATTTCAATCAATTGATGAAATGATTGAAAAATTTGATATGCTTTATGCTAGTTATCAAGTAAGAATCGATTGTTTTTCTTCTTAGCTTGTCTTGTTTGTATTGAGTTTCTATATTGAGGATATTCTTACGACTATTAAAAATTCTAATGAAGAATTAAATGATGTACAACGACAATTAGTATTAACTATTGAAGTAAAATATTTCGAAATAATTTCATTAAAATTTAATTGACACTCTAGAAAAAAAATAATAAAATATCTTCAATGAATAATCGTATACGAGAATTACAACAATATGTTATTGAAATTCAACAACATATTGATAAAATTCAAACTGAAATAAATAATTATCAACAAACATCAATAGAACATTTAACTGAAATTGGTATAATTAAAATGTAAGACAATAAATATAAAACAGATTCTTGTTTTTTTGTACTTCAAAATATTTCTATTTAAGTGCCATTGAATCAATGTTTGATTTAGTAAAAAGATTTAGTCATCGTTATAGAAAAAAAGATTTATATCTTGATAAATATTCACAAATGAATGACAATCAATATTTACTTATTAAAATAAAACAAGTAGGTCAATATTTTAAATTTATTCATTATAAATATGACAAAAAAAAAACAACACCAAAATTCTATAGATTGATACATTTCTTAGTGATCTAATTTATTATGTAGATTATGTTAATAATAAACAAAATAAAATTATATCAAATAGAAATTCAATTATTAATGATAATCTAAAAATTAATTTAAATGCAATCACAGACAGTATTAATGATAATAATCAATGGCGGGGTCCATGTCAAATAGATCGACAACAAACATTGATTACAACAATTGATAAACATCCACAACAACCATATGTTTCATATAAAGTAAATATTTCTTATACAGAAAGTTGCGCTGGAAAAAGTCAAAAACTTTTTATCTCAAATATACTTTAATAACTATAAGATCGAATTGAAGAAAAGAACGAGCTTCTATGCTAAGGTATGGGGGGAAAAGTTGATATTAATAGAAAAATTTCTAAGAATTTTTTTTTTTCATATAATATACTAAAAGATGTAGCGTGAAAAGCTTTACAATTTGCGTAAGACCGCTTTTTTTACAGTTGCACTTTTTGTTTTCAAAATTGTCAAAACTTCGAATGACCAAATTTCGACGCTACGAAAAGATAACACGAACGAGAAGTTATCTTTTTTCTTATTTTATCTTTTCATTACCTGTATATATTGTAGAGCTTTCTACGCTGCATCTTGTGGTATATTTTGTTTTTTTTTAAATAAAAGATTTCAGGTGGTAAAGAGGAAAAAACGCATTGGCCGTGCATTGAACAAAGACTTTTTCGCAGCATCGAAATCTGGTGGCTCAGAATTTTTGTCGATTTTGAAAACGAAAAGTATAGCTGTAAAAAAGTGGTCCTATGTAAATTATAGAGCTTTTCACGCTGCATCTTGTGATGTATTTTGTTTTGTTTTTTAAATAAAAGATATGAAGTGATCAAAAGATGAATAAGTCCATCTTGTGCCGAAAAAAATATCGTTTTCACACGGTCGAAATTTGATTGCTTGAAGTTTTGACGATTTTGAAAAGAAAAAAGGCAACTGTAAAAAAAGCGGTCTTATGCAAATTGTAGAGCTTTTCACGCTGCATCTTTTAGTGTATTATATGAAAAAAAGTTCTTAGAAATTTTTCTATTAATCTCGATAAGAAAATGTCACGAACTTTTTTCCCATACCTTATATGGGTTTTCGCAAAACGGTCAAGTTTTAACAGACTGATTGAAGGACATTTCGACTCTACAACCACTTTTTCCGAGACATTTTCGCGATTTTGAAAAAAATTTCAGTTTTTAAGAAGCTCATCTTTTTATTTGCCTCAGCATTAAATAAATCATTCTTTTATTAATCATTAACCACCTAATAACACTCAAGATAGGAGTTACGTATTTATATTTTGTACTGCACACTGAACAGATGGTTCACGTAAAATTGCGCAGAAATTCACAAGTTATTGAGAGTATCCAGCTCTTGATCTCTTTCAAGGTATTCCATTGACTTAACGTAAATAAACTGTAGTGAAGTTCATTTAAAACAGTTACATGTTCTTCAGAAATTATTATAGAAAATGAACAACAAAAAGAACAGCATCGAACAAATATTAATTCGATGCGAAAAAGTTCAACAGATGTTTGAAGAGTGAAGATAACGTCCGGTTTTTTTTGAACAGTTTTTTTGACATCGATGTCTGATGGATATAAACATGAGCTACTGAGAGAACATGAGCTACGCTAATTATAATTCGGTTGTAGCGTCTTACTCAACTTTGCCCAAAAACTTTCAGACTGTTTTATTTATCTAAAGATCGATACGAATCATCGTATCCAGAAAATACAGTGGTATAAGAATGCGTGCGTCACCTGAATAAGAGGAGAGAAAAACTATCTGAACATGACATGTGTTGTTAGCTTACTTCATTTGTTACATGCTTTGAAAAAATCTGGTGAAATATATTGAAAATCTGCCATTTTATTATGATTTTTTTCTAAATTTCAACGAAAAGAATCGATTTCTAGCTTACCGTTTTTTCATAAAACATGGTTTTCGGCTAGGAAAATGGAAATAACTCTAATCCAGTTCAAGGCATACCCAATATTGTTTTTTATTTTGAAAGGCTCGATGACAGTAAACTTTTATCTGAATGGATTTTTTATATTTGATTCCTGTGTTGAGAAAAGTGAGATTTACTGTCGTTTGATCACCGTTTTTCATGCTGATTTTAAGATATATCTACGAAAATACTCAAAAAAATGAATAATAGTGAATTTCAAAATTCAGTCAGACAAAAACTTTGCACTGACATTGGCTTTAATCTGAAACCACTCCGAACTCTGCACCTTTTATAACAGCGAAGTTATAACATTTCTTCTGAAGCCCAAAAATGGACTATGAATCAGCTTGGAATCTGGTATAGTTTGATGTATATGGCTGAAATTTTTATCAGAGCGTATCACACTAAGGCCACCCATTCCTGAAAATTTCAGCCCAAACAGATGATTCTAAGTGGTAAATCAATTCTGAGGGGGGCTTAATAAACCATTGTTGTTGATCTTCCAATTCCTGCGAAAATAATTTTTTTCAAAAAGTCGGATTGAAGCTCTAAGTTCGAAAAGTTAAGCATTTTCTAGAACTCATAAAGTCGTTCGATGTCTCACAGTATTTTTAAAAGATTTTTAGCCTTTCTTAACTCGATTTTCAAGAAAATAAAATTTATATAAAATTTACAGTGCAATAATGAACAGGGGAGGAGTCAATTTATTTTAGAAACTATGACACTGTTAAGAATCGCTTGATTATCTAAAGGTATGTCACTTAAATCATTTGGAAATAAAGTGTACTTACCCATCAAATGATACTGAAATGCGTAAGTTTCATTTTGTGCGTGTTCGTCGCGGACTGTGCTAGGTATTTATCGATGACAAAATTGCTTGGTTTTTTCCCAATTATAACTGAATATGCGCATCAATGAAGCATGACATTTTCATAAGGTAGGTAGCTGATTTCTTAAGAATATACTCGTCATTACACGTGCTTGCTTCTTTTACCGTGTTCTTTCCCTGCACATCTTTTTTCCTTTCTTTGCATTATCTATCACTATGCCCAGAAAATGTACATCGACGTGAAGCTACCACAACCACCAAATATATATTGCACACACTAAGTTAAAATGTGTCGCATGTGTTGTGATTTGCGACACATTATACGACACATTAAAGCGCGACACGAGGAGCTCACTGCGATACATTTTCTCCAGCAAGACCACGACAGGGTGTGGGTGTGGGTTTGGTTAGTGTTAAAAATAAAACTCATAATCACAGCCACCCACACACCACACCCACACCCCAAAAGGTAACTGATTCTAGTAGATTATAATCAGCATCACCTGATTTTAGACGATTTATAACCTTATGACTATAATCGATTTCAAAAGTTACTCAATTCTACTGGACTCTAATCATTGTTAGTTGATTTTAGACAATTCTTTTTTCTAATGATTATAATCGATGCGAAAGTCTAATCGACTTTGTCAGATTTTTACCGTTATTATTGATGCTAGAGAAGGGAAAAATCATAAACTACCGATGAAAATTGATTACTTAAAAAAATCGATTCCATCTGGTGAAGGAAAAATCGCAGAAAACCGATTTTGCTTGCTAAAAAATGATTTTATCAGATATCAGTAAAAAAAGTCGATGATAATCGAAAGACATGATTGATTCCGAATCGAATATGTAAAAAATCGATTATTATCCTCAATTTAATCTAAAAAAATCGCAATAGCTTGATCTTCATCAATTAATTATGTCCCAAATCGATGAAAATGATGTATTTTCTTATCTTTAGCCTTATTTTTTTACATGTATACCGTAAAAAAAAAAGTTCCATTTTTTTTGAAGTTTCATAACGGTCAATATTTGTTGAGTAACTCTGCTGTGGTTAAAGATAAGTTGATAAAATTATTACTGATGATGGATCTCAACGATATCTATACGTGATAAAAATTTTGGACAGTTTGCTTTTATTATTGAGAAGTTACAGATGTTGCAATGTGAAAAAATGAAATTCCGTAACGCATGACCACGCCGATAACTTTCTTACTATATGAGCTAGTGGGGTAAATCAAAAGCCATTTTGTAGAGCGTATTTTTCTGCATCTTCTCATTATAGAGAGAAATTTTCAAAAACGTGTTTTACTCTTGAAAAATGTATTATACAAATCGAGTCAGGACGTCTGGACCACAGTTGATTGCTCGCAACGCTGTACATATGCTGATCGATTTTCTCCACAATTTCTTTTTTGGGTTGAACTTTTAGCGATAACGGAATCTGATATTGACGCGACTTAGAAAGTGCTTGACTTTTCATCGAAAGACATTAAAATAAGAAGGAGACGTATTAAGTCAAGTGCGCATTAGTTTGCTTTGGGAGAGCGAGATTAGATATGGCGCGTTAAAACGAAAATATATAAAAGGATGACTTTCATCATAAATCTTGGTTTTATACCAATCATTCAAACGGCAACAATAACCATGAAAATGGTCCTGCCATTGATTGTTTTCTGTCTTACTCTTCTGCAGAAACCAAGCACAGCTACTCAGCAGCCACATACCTTCGGGATTGAAGTGGCTACGCAAATGGGTAATGGCTTACAACGGGATGCGAGTGGTAACTTAAAAAATCAATTAAAAAGCCATAGCGAGTCGCTACAATTTCAGTTCACTTCTCCGTCATATACCTACGGTTGGTGGTGCGTTAAAATGTTTGAAACTACAGAGTCCTGGCACGACAACTATCTTTGCACCAACCGCGATATTGATTTACATTGGATATGGGACAATCGGGTATGTCGTGCTGACCTGAAGTGCGTGGCTACTGCAGAACCTGGGGACAATCGATGGAATGACAATGCTTTGTGTGTCCCAGCACAATCCAAGATTGAACTTGTCTGGTCATATTGTGGCAAAGTGGCTCACATGAGTTGTATTCAATTGTTCGATCCTGCTGCACCGGGTTATACTCGTGACAATCATTTGTGCTGGAAAGAACACTAATCTTTCAAAAACATTTCTTTTCTATTGTGTATCCGAAGGCAAAGCACCATTTTTGTTCTTTCCTTCTTTTAGCTGAAGTTTTGCGTGGTTGCGTGAAACACTATGTAGTTCATGAAAATTTAATAAAACTTGGAAATTTCCGATATCATATGTCATGAGCTCAAAATGAAACAAAGTCAAAATCATCTTTTTCTCCCTTAAATACAGACATAAAATAATGCATGGAATGATCTGTAAGAGATTGATAAGGACAACTGAATCGTTTTAGGGAAGATTTAAGCTTCCTGGAGTGTGAGTGTGGATGTGGGTGTATGGGTGTGGCTATGAATGAAGAAACAATGAACACTCGCACGCAAACTCACACCAACACCCCAAAATGATTTCATGCAGCTTAGCACTCGATAAAGCCATTTCATACAGTTAAATCGCACTGTAAACTCCACAGTAATAACCACGCATTCTTAGCCAAAAGACCTTAAAGCTGCTCATATATAATAGTCATACGGAGAACTTCAGGATGTTTTACAAACTTCTAGGATACTCAAAACTATTCTTTAGTACCTTAAGTATCAAATTTAATTCTACGAAGTATTATTATCATTATTATGGTTTTCTTGATCAATTGAACATGGCCAGATGAGTTTTAAAAGCCAGGACATCAATACAAATCAATGGCACCATAGAAAAAAAGCTTGTTAGCGCAGCCCCTTTGGGGCTGAAATGTGGAACTCACATATACACTCTAGCCTCATTAAACTAATACAAAATACGTAAAGTGACAAAACTCTCGTAGACGGGGTGTGAGTGTGGGTGGGTGGGGGTGTGGGGGGGGGGGGGGGGGGGGTGTGGGTGTAGGTGTAGGAAAGGATCATATCACACCCACACTCACACCCCACACCCACACCCACCCACATCCCACACCCACACCCACACCCACACCCACACCCACACCCACACCCGCACCCCACATAAACACCCACACCCACCCACACCCACACTCCACACCCACACCCACACCTCACATCCCACACCCACACCCGACTTGATAGGATGAATAAAAAATGGCAAGTGAATATGATATCGATCTGGTGGAAATTACTCGTCGCATATTCAATACGCGATGTTGGAATCAAATATTACAGCAATATACAATTATTTTCTCATCTCATCTTTCTATATAAGGCACGTTCTTACCATGTATTATATCTTTTTTTGATATCTATTTAACGACAGCGAGTATTTATTATTGGTTTTTTTTAACACTTGTCTGCTATATGAAGGTAATTTAATAATACAACATCATAAATGTCAGTAATGATAGTAATAAGAAAAATACTTCTGCTATTCACTTTACCATTCGTTGATGTGAAAGTTTATGTATTCAACACAGTAGATAGTCCTTCGGTTGAGTTATATGACTGTATTCTTCATAATGATTTATATTATTGTCGTCGTCCAAACAGTCCCATAATTCTCAATAGAAGCAACAATACAGGACAATGTTATCACAATGGTGCTCTCCATTCGTTTGCTGATCTTCATGCAAACAATGTTAGTATTAGCACTATCCTACATCAATGGAAATCAAGTATTGAGAAAGTTGAACAATATTCAAGATATATGATAAATTCGAGCGAATTCAATGGATATGTGTGCCAGTGTGCAAATCCACAATCCTTCGGAAAGAATTGTGAATATCTCTTATCAATAGGTACGACATTTGCGCAGACACTTACTGCAGAAAATGCACTAAAAATAAAGGATTCAAAGTATGTACAATTGTATGGTGATATCATTTGCTATATGACATTAGAATGTGATTATGGTCTACTATGCCTAGACTGGCGAGATATCTGTGATGGAGTCCAACAATGTATGTTAGGATTAGATGAAGAGAATTGTGACAAACTTGAATTTAATGAATGTGAAAATGATGAATATCGATGTATGAATGGAATGTGCATTCCCGAAGAATATTTTCTTGATGGTGAATTTGATTGTTTAGATTGGAGTGATAAAATTCAATATTATGATGATAAAAACTGTACAATAGAAGAAGCTAGTGTTCAATGTGATGATAGAATCTGTCCACCAAATCAATGGTCGTGTGGTGATGGACAATGTATTCTTGATCGATTTTATTTTCAGATATCACCAAAAACGGAATTTCAATGTCGAAGTCGACGTGAACAATATTTTATTTGTGAAACGAATTTGTTTCCATCTCTGTGGACAATACCTAATGGTCGATGCTATGAAGGTTGGGGATACGAAGAATTAAATATGAACAATCATACTAATCATGAACAATGTCAATATCTTCTCAAATGTGCTCTATCAAGTGGAGCAGAAAAACATTGTCCTTGTGAATATATTGCTGTCTGTGCTCATCAAATCGACGCTACTTGTTCTTCGGATTATATTCAATATCCTCAAGCTGGAATCTTGGCTCCATATGTCTTATTTTTTTATGATCGAAAGAAAGATTTGTTTACATTAAGTCCAAGTCATATTCTAATCAATGGAACAATTAAATGTAAAGGAATATTAACCAATATAACCGCCGTTCTATCCAGACATACTTTCACACTTTATCAACTCGAACAAACATTATGTCGAGAGGCAAACTATGAATCTCTTCTTGGTGATCATAGTTATTATCAACATTGCCACCACATATCATTAACGTTCAATAATCATTCATACAGTTCTAGCGACGTTTGCAACGAATCAAAAGAATGCATTTCAACTTATCGCATCAAAGATCGATTTATAAATTGTATGGATGAAATGGACGAAAGTAATGATATCTCTTTCCCTACAATATGTTCAAAAGTTCAACGTTATCGTTTTCGTTGTTCTGTTGACGAATGAACTTGTTTGAGTGTTACTACTCTTGGAAATCTACAAAATGATTGTAAAAACGCATTTGATGAGTTATGGATGGGCACCAGTACAAAGTTAGTGGATATCAAGTGCAATCGATTGTGGAAGGATCAGTGTGAAATCCTTCGATAGTACATCGAGAAATCTTGGACATTGAATAGCACTTATGAAATCACCAAACAACTTCGAATACCATTTCATCAGTATTGTGATACATTTTGGAATTTAGTTTTGAGAGAAGATGAGAATATAAATGAATGCAGAGATTGGTGGATATGTCCACAAGAACAGTGGCAATGTGATAGTGGACAATGTATTGATGAAAGATGGGTGTTAGATGGCGAATGGGATTGTGCCGACGCATCAGACGAAAATAATCTATTCAGTCGATCGATACCAGATCGAAATTTGCAGTTGGTTCAACTTGATGTACTTAGACGTAGATTCATTGAACTAAATGTACTGATACCATTTTCAACAATTTGCAACCTAACAACAGAATTTCCATGTTTTCCTGTCAATGTTTCTATTTCCTTGAGTAATTTAACATTTAATCAATCTTGCATTAGTCAACATAAAATTGGTGATGGTCATATTGATTGTTATGGAGCCATTGATGAGCGTAATACTCTAGAAGTTTGTCATCAACCAACCATGCTGGGATATAATTTCAAATGTATGTCAACTCATCAATGTATTCCATATTGGAGGCATTGTTCAATAGATCGATGTAATACGACATCAGACGATAGATTCTGGTGTGATCTTTGGCAAAATTCATCTAGTTGCGATGAAATTTCAGATTCAGTTTGTTTTAATGGCACCTGTGTGAAAAAGGGTCGATGTAATCGAATTCCACAATGTTCTTTTGGTGAAGATGAATATATGTGTGATTATGAAAGTATTTCCAACTGGATCAATATACCTTATCGTAAAGAGAAACACGTAATCGGTAAGAATGTTGCACAAAAACTTCGATTGATCCAATTTCCAATTAATGCAAAGGTCACTAAATCAATCAAGCATTTGTCTTCTGTCACTCAAACAACACCAACAACAACGATTTCGTCAAATACTACATCATCGTTTATTGCTTATTGGTGTAATCGAGGTGTTGGCATAGAAATGTATAACAATTCAATCGCTTGTTTTTGTCCACCACAATATTACGGTGACAAATGTCAATTTCATGCTGATCGAATAATTCTACTTCTTCATCTTAATCTTTCTCAACCAATCTATACAGTCGATAGCGAAATTCAAATTGTACTTAAGATGGTAGTTCTATTTCTTTTCAAAAATGAAATAATTATGAATCATTTATTTCATGTTCGACCAGTAGCTGAAATATTCGTTTATACGAAAAAGATGATTCATTTTCTCTATTCTCGTTCATCTCAATCGCTTCAACATAAGAGAGAACGATACTTCAATCAATCAAATATCATCAATCATCATCCATATTCGATTCGAATTGAAATGTACGAAAGAAAAGACACTGGGGAACCTGAACTAATGGCAGTATGGCAATATCCTGTCTATTTTGACTACTTACCTGTCTTCCATCTAGCTAAAGTTCTTCGATTGACTAAATTAAATCTAAATAAAAATCCATGTTCAAGTAATCCTTGTAATCAGAATCAACAATGTCAACAATTACTCAATGAAAAATATAAATATATTTGCCTTTGCAAGAGTAATTTTGGAGGAGAAAATTGTTCTATTGAAGATCGTCTTTGTATTAATGATTATTGTGCATTCGGATCCCTATGTAAACCAAATTATCGAGGTTTATTAGCTGGAAATCAACTACCTTATTGTATTTGTTCATTTAGTCGATTTGGTGAACAGTGTGATATTCAGCATGATCAATATTTATCAAACCCTTGTTAAAACAATGGTTCTTGCTTTCCGACGTCAAAGCCAGATAGTTTTTCATGTTTTTGTACTGAGGAATACTATGGTAAGAAATGCGAATCGAGAAAATTGGAAATTAAATTATATATTAATGAAAGTGTTAATCATGCAGCAGCTATTCTTCAATATTTTGATATTGATTTCAATTCACTTGGTCTTAGTCTTGCTCATCAACAAGTTTATCGAACTCTTCCCACTTTCATTGAATATCGACATGGACATAAAACAGCAGCAGAAATTATTCTAGTAAAACTCTATTCTTCTTACATTGAGCATTCAGCTCAACTCTATTGGATCTCCGTTCACTCTGATGTTGCATCGATTTATGCAACTACTCAAGTGATTGAAACAAATGAATGTGTCGATGTTCATAGATTGATGTCAGACAATGAGACTCAAGTGATTTCAAATTATTCTCCAATCAGGTATCATTATGTATGCATAAATAATTCAGATCTGTTATGTTTTCGAGACGATTCCTATTTATGCATTTGTAATGACAATCACTCTCGAGTAGAATGTTTTCGCTACGATTATAAGCTCGACCAATGTTCTTATTGTTTGTCTGGTGGTCGATGTTTGAAAGGAAATCAATTTCAGCCACAGGATTTCATCTGCCTATGTCCACTATGCTATTCAGGTACCAAATGTCAGTTCAATTCAAAGTCATTTACTTTTACTCTGGATCAACTTTTCTTCACCGACCTCACCTCTGACAAACAGCAAATCACTGTTCATTTGCTTATTATTTGTCCACTTCTTCTGTTCTTCATCGCTCTACCAAGCAACCTTATTTGCTTTGTTACATTCCGCCGTCGAAAATGTTTGTCTAATGGTATCGGGCAGTATCTGCTTTGTATTTGTATTGTCAATCAGATCAGTCTCGGCTTTCTTGTAGTTCGTCTCATTCATCTCGCTTTGTGCATCACAGGTTTTCGTTCTAATTTAATGTTTGATAACGTTTTCTGCAGGCTGTTGAATTACTCACTCACATGTTCTACTCGCATCGCCTGTTGGCTAGCTTCGTTCGTGACGATAGAACGTGTTTATACAACAGTATTCCTGACGGGGCAGTGGCTCAAAAGTCCACACATAGCTCGACGTTTCATGGTACTAACCTTTTTCGCAATTTTCCTTTCAACTACCTATGAGCTCGTATTCATGAGGTCGTTATTTATCGGCGAGGGTAGCAAAAGCACTATATGTTTGATCGAATTTCCACTTATTGGTCAATCTGTTTGGGTGCTCGTACATCAGATTGTGTCAATTATAAATTCTATTTTACCGCTTTTCATTAACATTTGTTGCACGATCACGATAATATGTATCATCACGAAAAAGAAGATGAATATTTATGCACCGAAAAAATGTAAGTTATGCTCATATCCTTTTGCTCTTTCTTTTATTTGATACAAAAGTCATTTCAGATCCTGAAACACCAGCAGGTACAACAGTTGTAGGTACAAATGACCTACAAGCAAGCGAACAACAACAAAATGTTCATAGTAAAGAAATTGACAGTAATATATGAAAAAGTCATAAAAAAAGTGATAATTTAGATAGATAAAGTAACCTTATATCTTTCAAACATGAGTTCTAATTATTTATCAGACCAAAATTTAGTACCAAAAAATGACAAGCGCGGTTTTTACATAGTGGAATTATATTGGTAATACAGTCTAACACCAAGATTTTTATCAAATTTTATAGCTTAAAAATGATTTTTCCTTAAGTTCTATTGTTCAGTAGCCTTCAGTTAGTGATGTGAACATCAATACCTCAATATTTTTGTACCTGGATGAAAAGTTTTCAGTAGTAATTATTCTCTTAAAGCACCATTAAAGTGTCGCCTGTAAGATATCTCGTCTTTCATGCTATCTACTCTGTTTTGAACAAACAAAAACAATAATATTTTAAGTAAATTAGTAATCTTCTATGTTGTTCTCTTTCAAGTTTGTTCATTAAATGTATTTTTTTTCTCCTTTAAGTGAATACCAGCATAAAAAATGTAAATAATTTTCGTACTTTGTTCCGCAATGTATTGATCAACAACAAAGAAATGATAACTCGACCTGCTATAACACTTGTTCCTTCGACTTTTTCACTTTTCTCTATGCCATTATTCATTGCATCGTTCTCGTTGGGTTGTCAAAATCTGGAAAGTAGCCCGTTACGTTATCTTCTAACTACATTCAATTTTATCTCATTTATTCCTCAAATCATTACTTGTTTTCTTTACATATATCCATCATCACTTTATTCAAATGAGTGGCATCAAACGACAATTGGTAAACGAATGACTGCTTTCAGACAATAATACCGGTTATAGAAAGCTGTCACTGCTTTTTCTATTCTCATGGAGAAAAGTCAATAAATTCGTTTGAACATAAGCAAATTTTGACATACATTTTTCTATTACAATCATGCTTTAACCACGTATGCTGTTTACGACATGAATAACGACCTCAAGAAGAAAAAAAATTTCAAACTTTTCAATATTGTCGTTTAGTCATACTCATGCTTTAGTCGGTTTTTGTTATCAACTATATATGAAAGATTAACCCTTACATTACATAACTACATACATGATAATAAGACCTTCTCTTCAAATAAATGATTTTCTACTGATTATTTGCGATAAAAAATCATGCCAGTTATTGAAAGTTGTTTACTGCTCATATAAACTAAGATTTACGATGTATTACAATTTTCATTAACAATGATCATGAAAACTTGTTGTTATCAACTAGCGTAACTACATGACAATAGTAAGCAAGGTTTCAATAACACTATAGACAGTCGTATGCAATGATTGTAAACAGTTTATTTAATGACTGAACGTTGTTCGTTGCCATCATTTGTAAACAGTTCTTTATGTCTCACATCTGCATGTCTTTTCCTTTTCGAATATAAAATTGAAGTTTTAAAAATTTTAAATTAAAATTTGAACTTTTTTCAATTGAAATGATTCAAATTGAAAACAATCTAAAGTTTTAAATTTTCGTTTTCTACATTTTTAAAAAGTTACTTGAGAAATAAATCGAAAACTTCAAATTTTCGTTGTTAAATTACTAGACATTTACTGACGAGGGAACCACCCGAGGTGATACCTTCCGTTTTGATTCATTTATATCTCATTCGATCTAGTATATTGAGGTAATAAAAAGCCTAAAGGGATTTCTCCCCAATGCTCTTCCTTCCAAAGTTATGGTCGTTTTACTCAATTTTCAAGCTATCTCTATATATTTAACAGTAAAACTAAACTATGGAATTTTGACCTGAAATTTCGTCCATAGTTAGGTCTAAGGACCCTTAGAATATCCTGAAAGTTTCAGCTAAAAGGAA